ACTTAAATGTAAATATTAGTATTCAGATTTATTAATATCATGTAATAAGAAATGCTATTGTGAAAAAAATACTTTATAAAGCACCGAAGCTCGAACTGGAAAGTAACTTCTTTTATGAAAAAAAAAAACAATGGTTTTGTTTTTTGTCAATACACCAGTGCTTACTAGTATCTTATTAAATATTATCCTATCTAATGGTTATGGCAGATAGCAGGCCGGACGGAAAGACGATGCGGTAGGAGCAGATTGTAAGTGTACCTTACGAGGAAAACATCACACAGACCCTTCGCTTTCGGTGTTCAGTACATTTTAACAGCTCACGCCACGTCACCGCCCTGCAACGTTCGCTTTCTGTCTTAACCTCATGTTTGGTATTTAAAAACCAATACATACTTGAGTACAGATTCAATACATAAATTAATCTGATCAACTAAATTAAAGGGTCAATATTACAAAAAACAAACAAATGGGCCTTCTATCATGTATTCACGTGACTACCGAATATAAATATGTATATTAAATTTAATCACATTGAAAACACGTATAAATTGTTCAGCAAGAAAGTGGGTAGCTAGCCATTTTCTTCCTAACAAAATAATCGTCAATTAAAATACATTTAGTTACAGAAAATTGTTTCCCTAGAATGAAATCGGAAAACAATTAGTCTCGAAGCAATAATAACGTTGGAATTGCTGAATCAGGACCGACGTCTGTAGTAACAAGTTGCCAACGACATGTCGCTACCGAACTTTATAACCCCTTAATAAAACACAATTTCATACAGGCTCCCGCTTTAGATATTGTTCGCGTTACGAAGTAACAATATTTTATGTCTCCGTTCTGGATTTAGCGGGGGGTCGTGTGCCATAATAAAGCAATAAATTATTTCCATTTAAATTTAATTTGACAGCCATCATGAAACAGGGAACTGTTTACCCAATAATGTTTTGATTAAAGTGGTCTGTTGTGATTAGTGAAGTGGAAAATTCTAAATACCCCTGTGTTTACACACATAACATTCCATTTGGATCAGTGTACTTTATCTGTGTACTTTACTTGATGTAGAAATCTACGTTCTTATACTTTTAGTGTGATAAAATATGTAACATCTAAAAATATTTTCAATATTCTGAGTATTTTAAATAGACCTATATTGCATTGACTTCTAGAGTCTAATATTTACATATATATTTATTCGTATAACAAAGAAGCTGCCTTTGTTTTCACGTGAATTTAGAATGTTCCAATAACGGACATAATGTGTTACCAAATAATAAAAACGGTAATATTGCTGCAATATTGACATCTATAGAGCGTTGAAGTCAGCTGGATACCCTTATAAATTGAACTTAATTTTTAGAGAACGGAAATGAGAATATTTAATATGTATTTTTTGTGGGTTTGTAATTGCAACAGCGCAATATTTTGGCGATTACTTAAACAATAGTGACCGTAGTCAATTTGTAATTCCGATCCCAATATGTGAAAAAAATATAAGTGGGCGAGTTTGGGAATCCGTAAATCGTACATTCATATCTAAGAAGTTATGAATATACAATTTATGGACACTCAAACTATCTCACAGTGGAATGTGTCATTGTTTGTATTGAAAGCTGTGGGACTTATGTTTGGAAAGCAGTTTAAGATAGACATACTGTTCATGAAAATAAATTCTTATAAAATGTCTGGCGTCGCTCTTTTGTGTACTTACACAAAAGAGCGACGCCAGACATTTTATAAGTATTATAATAAATTAAATTTTTGTCAAAATTATGTCATTACCATAAATTTATTTACGAAGAAACAGTGAAACTCTATTTAGTATTCTATATTACATAAGAAAACACGTATAAAGGACATATTGCCTGTAATATTATAATGAAATATCAGGTTGGTGGCTTCACAATATTAAAATTAGTATAAAAAATATAAATATATTTTTCAGATGAGATGAATAACTCTATGGTTTTATTGTCGTTGTTATAACGTAAATATTATGTAATTAAAACTCAAAATTAAAAGAAACGTAATGAAACTGCTATTTTCACTTTTAGAAAATAGTAGTTGGCTTAAAAATAAAGAACATATACCTGGCAAATCTCTCAATAAGTTGCTTAAACACTTACATTTCATCATACATCTTTAATTGCAATGTTAAGTTTGTTCTTAGGATCAATTACTGGTAGACATATTCATATCGTCGAATCATCCCCATGAGAGTTCCACGGATATTCTCTATAGTGCGTCAAAAGAATCTAACGTTTTGTAAAAATTACAACATTTCATAACATGTGACAACATCCCGTTAGCATATTTCCTCATACTATGAAATTGTTTGGAGCTTACAAAAAATGTGGAGGTGACTAAGTAGAGTTTTATATTAGTTGCAACTTCTAAACGAAAGGTTTGAATAATATAAAAAGGAATTTATATGTACATACTAAATTTTAAACTTTCGCGTTCCATGATAATTCATATTATTTTAACGGGAATTAACGCGATCTCTTATTTAGGGTATTACATACCTCTGGTTTGCCTGACGTTTCGACCAGGTTGCACCGGCCGTGGTCACAGGCTGACTGGCTCATCGGCGCACGCCCTCCGTCGTCGAATCCGTGAAGTAGAAGGCTCTTCATCTACCCGCACATTTTCGATATTGTTGTTGTTTTTGTGTCGTCATGTACCGTCACATACCACACTAACAGTGTCCCTATTCTGTAAGCAAACCGATGAGTCCCTATTCTGGTGTTTAACCGATTGCGCAGAAAAGCGAGGTGGTATGTTTTTTCGTCAGGCAAACCAGTGGTATGTAATACCCTAAATGAGAGATCGCGTTAATTCCCGTTAAAATAATATTAATTTTATGTACATAATTGAACTTTATTACAAAACTATTTAGTTAGATAAAGGTTAACATCATGATACGATTATCCTCATTTTTTTAAATTGTACTCATGTTATGAGTGATTAATAAACACAAAATGGTTGTGACATAATTATAATAGTCTCATCATTAGCTACAAAATCTACGACCGAATCGATGAAAATGTGACGGATGTGCGTATAAGGTTGTAAGGTAGAGTTAAACGTTAGATGTCCGTTACGCGTCATATGCGACTACTGGAATGCTCATCAATGATCATCAATCATCCACAGCCTTTAATAGTCCACTGCTAGATATAGGCCTCTCCTTAGAAAGGAGGTTTTGGCCTGCCATACCACGATGGCCACACGGGTTAATATAGGGTTTGTTTCAAGTTGGTGGTGGCTCTTCGACGAGCACTTCCGACAGCTTGCTCCAAAGCTGGTCGGCGCTGCGTCTGCCCTAGGGCGACTTTTGCCCAATTTGGGTGGACCCAGCGTCGCGACGGCTGTACACAGGGGTTGTCCGGTCAATGGCACTATACGGTGCACCGGTGTGGGCGGCGGCTCTGACCGCCCAGAATAGGGCACGCCTCTGGCGCCCTCAGAGGGTAATGGCGGTCAGAACCATACGCGGATACCGCACCGTTTCGACGGAGGTGGCGTGCGCGTTGGCTGGAACTCCCCCGTGGGATTTGGAGGCGGAAGTGCTCGCCGAGGTTTATCGGCGAGTGGCTGACTCCCGGGCGGAGAGCGGATTTCGCCCTCCGCCCGAAGACGTGCGCGAGTGGCGCGAAGCCGCTCGCCGAGCCACGATGGCTCGTTGGTCGTTCCGGCTGGAGATTCCACGCGCTGGCTTCGCCGCCGTGGAGGCTCTCGAGCCGGTCATCGCCAAGCGGGCAGGGTGGCAGCACGGGACCCTTACCTTCCGGCTGACGCAGGTGCTTTCCGGGCACGGTTGCTTCGGAAAGTACCTGCACTCGGTCGCTAGGAGGGAACTGAGTCCCGCCTGTCACCACTGCGACTGCAGTGAGGACTCGGCCCAGCACACGCTGGCGGTCTGCCCCGCATGGGCGATGCAGCGCCGGGCCCTCACTGCAGTCATCGGAGTGAATCTCTCGCTACCGGCCGTAGTACGCTTAATGGCCGGTAGCGACAGTTGTTTTACCGCGGTCGCAACCTTCTGCGAGGAGGTCATCTCGCAGAAGGAGGCGGCGGAGAAGGCCCGGGAGGACGACCTCCACTCGGACCCGATCCGCCGCCGGCGAACCGGGCGGCGGAGGCGCGCCTATCACCGCCTCATGCCGCCCTGAGTGTGGGCGCGGGTGGACGGGGTGGGTTTCCCCTCCACCCGCATTAGTTTGGCCAGCCGCGAGGGGGCGGCGTCCGCGTGTGCCGGACGTCGCCTAAAGAGAGGAAAATTTTGAGACGGAGCCCGCACCAGGAGCGGGCTGGCGCTAGGAGGGGTCCGGATGTCTTAATAACAGCTGTTGCCGGATCCCTCCTGTTACAGGCGCAGAGTGGCACACCGTGTGGTTTTAGTCGGTCCGAGTCCGACACACCACCCCGCCGCAAACCCCGGTGGGGTGACGGTCCGAGGGGATTTTTACACGTTAAAAAAAAAAAAAAATGGGTTTGTTTCAAGTTTTCCTTCTCTTTGCAGTGCTGTTGTCTTTCAAAGTTTGCTTCTATAGCCGGCTCTCATGATAACCATTGCGTCAATATGGGTGGCGACCCTCCATATTCTTAACCCGTCACCACACGGATGATAAAATTGGGCTTTGTCAGATTGGGCCTTGCAAATTTTGTTAGTTTAATATTGACAACTCTCTTTTTTTCTTTTCGTAAACATTATTTAAAGTCAGTAATAAATCATAGTAATATACGCATGTGAATTGTAAATGACTAACTGCATCTAGATAACAATGTATTAACATCACCTTAAAATAGATGCATTCTTAATAAGAGTAGAAGTACGTTCGTTAAGTTCACCCATCTGCTTTCAGTTACTTTTATTACTTTTAGAAATATTGATATTATATCTCGAGATCTCAACATATTTTGTGCAAAAATTTTCGTAAGTCATTTAAAAATAATAGCTAGATTAAATTTTTATGAATAAAGAAATTCTTATACAGTGGTGGAGAGCTTCGTAGGTTCGACACTGGCGTTGAAGGGACTTCAGCGATCCGACATGGGAACCTATTTGTGCATTGCTGCGAACGGAATCCCGCCTACCAAGAGTCGTCGCTATGATGTTGCTGTTTTATGTAAGTTTTATATTTCATCGTGATTTAATCTTGTTTTTCTTCGTTTGTTCTTTTACGAACTTAAGAACATTATTGAAAAAACGTCTATACGTATATATATTTCAAAGTAGAAACTTATTATCGTGTTGTATTTGTAAATTTAAATTAACGAGAATGAAACGTATGAACTTACAGTTAAATTACTTCGTCCTTTCTTAAGACCATTGTTACGTGTAGAATTATGTCTAAAATGGGTCTGCTAACAGTTGTTTGTGTTTTTAAGAACGTACTTTGAGAATATAGAAACATACCTATATAATTATGTATGTGTATGGAAACGCCATGATGTAGATGAGTGACTGAGTATGTTAGTATTTTAATACTTGTTGTTCTGAGTCTGGATGTTCTTTGTTTCTGTTTCATGTATGTTTGTAAAGTCCACCGCGACATAGGATATATTCCTAATGCAGGAGTTGTCTTTTTGAAGAAGAAAAAAGAAACAAAAGAAATATTTAATATGTTCCTACTAGATTTATAGTCAATATTATAAGGCATTGAAATTGTGTTTATATACTAGATTTAAAAAAGGTCCCCATGAGGATCTTGACTATTTTCTTATGTGACCTTAATATTTTTGGCACTTTTTGTAAAAATATTGCATATTTATTTGGCTGTGTTTCTATAAGTTGGTCGCTCTGAGTAACGGAAAGAAATCGAGTTTTTTTTCTTAGCATTCAAAACCCTAAATTTAATTTGTTTTCAAAGTGAAAATATTAGTAAAAACAGTAAAATCCAATGTTTAAATGAATAAAATGTGTAGGATATCTCTTTAACAAACGACTGTAAAAGGCTTGCCTAGACTTAATTGAGTAGACTTAATTTTAAACTAGTTAAACTTTGTTAATCATTTCTTTTGGTAATTGGACTTATTTAGATATTTCCAGTTACACTCGTTTTACTTAATGTTCTTTATTTGTGTAGCTAATTTGAGAGCTTTAGTATTTCCAATTTTAAAGTCGTCTGTGTTTCGTAATAGTAAATTTTAGTTTTCAGACAGAGTTGTTTCTTAATGAAGGCCCTTTTTAGTAGCACCTTCTAATAAATATTTATTTTTATATATATATATATATATATATATTTTACTAGTATTACATTTAATGTTACCTGGTTCTCAATGTCGTGGCTCTGACTGAAGTATTTCTTTTTAGCACTAGACGAGTGTGAAAACATAAACTTAAATAAATATGAATTATGCTCTTTTCCACTTCTTTTCAAAAAACACTTAATCTGAAGTGTTTTTTATTTTTTTTAAAACTTTCTACGAGTATAGCTCATACTTCGTGTTATGCTATTTAGCAATCAGAAGGCCAATTCTCGTTATAAAAATTCTGTCAAAATTCAGTTCCGATCCACTTTTGGTCTCATGAATGTCATAAAAGATATTTTCGTAGTAAAATAATAAAGTATTACTAAGACTAGCAGATTACCGATTCAACTTTTGGTCACAATACGATATAATCACACCGCAGTCAACGTTGAATGTTAAATATTTTTACTATTAAATACATTTTATGAGATTTGTGACCGAGACCGAGAGTATATCAGAATTGAATTTTGACCGTTACCGTTACTATTAATGTGACTAATTGAGTACGATTGTGATAAGACTTATTGCCAATGACGGAACAATAATTATCTGGAATAGTTAGTTAATTTTAGAAGCAGTTGATACACAGCCATGTTTAAGTGTCCTGACGGATAGGTTACACTTTTAAATATAAACTTTTACTTTTTCTCATATCTTCTTTACCTAGAACACGTACACTTAATCAAATATAATATTTACTCATTTAAAATATTTAATAAGTTTTAACAGAGTACAAAATATAATTTTAAAAGTATCCCTTTTACCTGATTTATATTAAATCATTGTCATACACACACACACATTATCTTAAATTATATATATATATATATATATATATATATATATATATATATATATATAACAGTTATATTTAGTTGTATCTTAATATATATATATATATTTTTTTTTTTGAATTTTGGTTTTCAGCACTTCTTTTATATAAACACGAATACCAATTATAATATGATGTAGAACAGGGGTATAAAGCACTTTCTTCATGTATATTGTAATATATGTATCCCTTTTACTCGTACATAACATTGCTTAATTGTATGAAATATGTTTTGAACATCTTCAAGTAGATAGACAATAATTTTTCATTGTATACAGGAATACCGATCCTTATTTATTCTTGTACATTATTGTAATTTTTCACACAGTCGAGCCGATTGTACGAGTGAGTAGTCCGGTTGTGTTACGTGCGGCGGATATGCAAGTCACTCTGCAATGTTATGTGGAGGCTTCACCGAAGTCGCTCAATACTTGGCAGCGTGGAAAATCACATGCCGGTGAGTAATAGGAAACGGTTTGAGTGTTAAAATAATACAATTTGCTGGGCGTCAATTGTTACGTAATACACGAATGACTTGCTCACGAGTTATGTTTTTTTTTGCAAGAATTGTGATTCGAGCTAGAGTAGGTGGCCTGTCCAACAATTTAAGTTTAATGTAATGAATTAATATCTACTTAATTCAGATGTAAAATACATACGCACGGTCATTTGTTCTGTGTCTGGGTGTACTTTATCTATAATATATATATATATATATATATATATATATATATATATATATATATATATCAACAGTCTCGTTGCCATAGTACATACTCTGCCTAGTTTGGGAACTGACGGCCATGTGTGAGATGTGTGAAAATATTATTATTATCGTACATTGGTAATATGATAAAATAAAAAGTAACATGGGAACGTAATTCAAAAATGAGTTATTATTTAGTAATTATCAATGAACAATTAGTTATTTACTACTTATTAAGTATTCATGGTATTAAGTTTTCGATAGGTGCAAAATAATAAAATAGTAAATGTTTTAAAAATATTTCTTTCTATAGGAGGGAAATTGCTGAACAGTTCAAAATACGTTATATCGGAAGAAAATTTAAACGAGTACTCATTACGGATGAACCTTACCATCAATCGACTGAAGAAGGGGGATTTCGGCGAATACACATGCGGGGCGGCCAATGCATACGGAAGAGCCGAAGGCGTTATAACGCTGAAAGGTAAATAGTTTTGAGTTATGTAGGTAAATACTTTATTTGTATTTATTTTATTATATGTCAATTATGAAGTCATGGTAGTTCAAAAGACTGGTGTACCATAATCAACATCTTCAATATTTTTCCCAATGTTAGCTTTAAAATGACAAAATGAAATCTTCTTAAATTAATTAATATTTTGGTTTTTTAACAGAGACACCGCAGCGCACCACGACCACTACTACAACAACAACGACTACTACAACAACACCTCGGCCAACAACAACAACGATCGCGACTACACGACTTCCAAAACGTTATCCTAAGAAACAGCAAGACCGCACCAGTCAAAATGCGCTCGACTCCGATATGCGACAAGCGGAGCTAAACAACGCCTTTAATTTCTACAGCAATGCCTTTAATCCACTCAACAACACACAACATCACAATGAATATGCACAGAGAACAGAAAAACAAAAAGTACGACCAACTCCGGGACTAACTCGTCACTATGTTGTGTACAGTAAAGCCAATACAATCCACGCATATATACCCTTTATTATTTTGATAAAAATCATTGTATAGAAAGAAATTAAATTTATGTATTGGTTTTTTTAAGCGTTAACATGTAGTGATAAAAACATGGCTGTTAAATTTTATATGTGTAAGGTACGTATGTTGAGGTTGTTGTAAACGTTTTAGTGGATCTCGATGTTAATATTGTTATGTAAAAAGCATTATCGGTGGCAGTTATCAAATAATATAATGATTTTCAGCCTTAAAATGTTAATGGAGACAATAAACTACTAATTCCAAGATAATATAAGGCTTAATTATTGTAACTTTTTCTGAAATTGGTAGTGATACGTAATTTGAAAATTATAATAATATCATTACTATCATATCAAACGGCGTATATTTATACAATATAATTAAAAGTCAAATTCGATAGAATTGCAATTGATTGATTAATATGTATTATGAGATTTTCGACTCCGTTTAGATAACAATTATATTATCGTCGTATTATTATTCTATACAGTTCTAATTATACAGTACTTACGACATACTAAATAATAGACATATAATATAAGTAAATCTAATAATGATAACACTAGTTTGTATAAGGTTTATATGTGACAATACGATTGTAAAGACAATAGCTGTAGTGTTGTTAATGTTAGTTGAATTTTATGTAAGTGCATTATAAAGAGGTAGTCTAAAATTATTTTTGGCCGCTTATTTCACCTTTTACGATATTATTGTAGGTAAAACAACGAATTACCTTGACCATACGTATTTTGTAAATGCTGCAAGCATGACATAGAAACTGACAAGAAATTGTGAAGTGACTGTAACTTGTAGATCTTTTGTTTTGTGCAATTGTTCAGGTTATCTACAATTTCGTATTTATTTAATTGATAGCATTAACAATCTTAGTAAGTTTTTTTTTTTAATTTGATCCATTTAATTTTTAAAGTTAGATTCCGTGCATGAATAATTGATTGGTTAAACAGAAACGCGTTAGTATATTAAGATTAATAATCGTAATAATAAATTTATGTCTTCCGAATAGTATATTAAAGTAATATATTCGGCTCATTCGTGTTTATGAGTTAAAATATAAAATTAGTAAGCGAAGTTCCTTTTGGACTTCAAAGTAATGTAGCGGTATGTACGTAGGTAAGTGACGAGAAAGAATTTATTGTAGGATAGTGGTACGATGAACATAAAATGAATTTTGATAAGAATTGATTCTACTGTAAAAAATAAAAATAAACACAGAATTAGAAATATAGAATTGAATATTATAACATATGTATCAGTGTTATATTCGTTAGATATATAACGTTTGAAGTAATAACTACTTTATTATACGATTATACAATATAAAAGTAAATGTAATTTTTGAATAATTTAACATAAAATAAAACATTTACTTAGTTCTGTATAAGTATCTACTATTTTATCAATTTATTAATTTATGATTTTTAAGTTGTCATTGACAATAATTAAAAATATGACAACTCATTAGAATTTATTAAGCAAATCTCATTTTGACGAAATGATGTTTTATGTTTTTTTTATAGTATAGAGCTTATCCATGTTTTTTTTGTAATGTAATTGAATTCTAACGTATCAATCAAATTATAAAGTTATTTAACGAATAATAATAAATTAATGACAATAATACGACAATCATTGTAAATAACTGAATTCATGTTAAACCAATTTATTAGTATGAAATGCGACTATTTATCAATGTTAACTTTAAGATGTTGATATCATTTTATGACATTTTAAAATAAAAAAATGTAATCAAAGTAATAAAATTGACTGGTGTTATTTATTTCTAATCCTCTCAGCTCTAAAGTCGATTAAAAGAAAATATAATTTACCGAACTAAATTTTCTCACACCTCATCAAATTTTATATAGCATTAAACTCTTACTGTACACATGGGTACCTTTGGGTTTCCGCTGTTACAATATTGTAAGAACGTTATCATAATAAAGTTATAGAGTTTGAGAGAAAAACTATCTTAACAGTACGGAACCGTGGTCTTCCGTTATCATATCAGCAATAGTCAAACATACCATTTGAAGCTGTGGCTACAACCCTAGAATCTACTAAGTAAATACTTCCAAAAAATCATAGTCCATGGAAGCATCGCTGAATTTTCACTAGACCGTTCGTAACTGCGATTGATGCAACTCGGTAGAAACGCCTCGGTAGAAAATAATATAGGTAAATGAATAAAATAAATACTGAACAGGAATGAGTCATAAGTCATACACTTACAAGTTCTGGTTTACAATACTCATATAAATACAAGTCGCAAAAGATTAAATATAAGTACTTTCATTATTCTATAAGAAAATATTACGTACGAGTTATTTTTACAGTCTTGAAGGATAGCTTCAAGGATCGATTTACAATCTATTGACTATCACTGCCAAATCGAGAGAAGTCACTTATCATATGCCAATGTTTCTGAGTCTCGCTTTCAGTGAGCAATCATAGTAGATAGACGCTTGGGTACGCTTCATTTTACACACAAAAAATCGATATTAATATGAATAATTTGTTTCAAAAAACAAATTCAATTTTTTAGAATTTGACTTTATATGAATCAGTCGTTTAGGTTTTATTAAGAAGCTCCTCGCGAGTCCAAGACACGGATATTTTCCTAGGAGAGGGAGATGCATCTACTTACCATAAAATGCAATGGAAAAGTATGTGAGACAGAAATATTTAGTGTTGATTAATGATTGAGGGTTGTTTTAAAGACCGATAAGAGCGAAATATTGTAGGGTATTCTCTATCTGTCAAAATATTTATTCTTTATAAACAGCTGGTACTAATAAAACCGTATAGATAACACGCAATACAAATTCAATTACATTATTCGTCTCTTAATTATTATTTGACCGATATACGTTAGAGTGTAGGACGTTTTGATTTAAAATAGATCTCATACAATAGTTAGATTAAGTTACACTTGTTATATAAAACTAAAGCAATAAAAAATGATGTTTACAGTTTTCTTAAATATATATATTTTCTTATTAAAAAAGTATGTACGATGCTTTCAAATAGTTCTCTCTTAATCAAAATAGATTCTAAATATCACTCAGAGCAACAGTAAACCACTTGCTCTATGACATTATTTTGTTTCCAGTTTCCAGTGAGAAGGACATCATATTTTTATTTAATACTTTTATTATTAAAAATATTTTTAGGTTTTAATCTTACCTACTTTGTGATTTAAAAAAACATGTGATTTAAAAATAATCATATGAAAAATGTTAGATAGTCTGTATAGAATTTATATACGTAGTCACAGGCATACGTACATCGATACATTGAAGTTTGTTCAAAAAATATTATTAGTGTCTTGACAAAAAATGTGGATTTCAGAGATCGATAATATCCATTTAAAATTTACAATCTTTCTTGTCTATGGTCAAAACCCTATAAAGTAATGAAAATCTTCATAACTCACGTCTAAAATTTTATATTGACAGACATATGTACTCCTTTGTTGACAAATAGTATTTCAACTCATGTGCCAAATATATTTCAATATGGCAAAACCCTTCAGAAGATCATGTACATGTGGAATCTTGAAAGTGTCATAAAATAGAATGATTTCGAAGAGCCGCCTGTCTTGCTTTTAAAAAGCCGTGACTCACATACACGTCGTAAGAAAATACTCTATGAAATATAAAGGCTTGACACAATAAAAAGTTACATTGGCATCCCTTTTTGCTGCAAATGTGTGACATTTTCACAAAACTTTGCCCAACATACATACTGTGAATATATTTACACGGGCAGCGTAGCCTACTGTAAAAAAACAACGGGTTCATAGAAGCTATTGGATTCATGCCCCAATAATAAAATCTTCATAGTCAGATGGAGCTTCTTAACGTAGAAAACATATCACAACTGTTTCGAGCTGTAAGATTAAATTTAAATTTTCAGGGATAAAATACTCATTTCAAAAAAAATCTTACTTATATTTTTTTTTAATAAATTATACTTTCAAATTTACAGTTTTAAATTTAAAAATTCTTAAATGTTTTAACTCGTCCTCATTTGGCAAACTTGTAGTTCAGATTCATGAAGACAGATAGCGTTAGTATTGCACTTCTTGGATATAATGCAACAAGTTATATATAATACCAGACTAAAATACTTACAGAATATTGATTCAGGTCATAATTGTAAATGTCTACTTTCTTACCTAATGACTTCTACGTAGAGTAGAGTACTTATTTTTCATTAGTTCATTTATCGGCCCGATAACAAACACAATTAGAAACTTTATACACCATAAGGACTTCATACACAATCAATTTCTATTCATAGCCTGCCAAACTTACAAAAAAAATACGAAACTATTTTTTATTTGATTTGTTGAAATAAGTACTTTTACAAAACGGCGTCAGATAGAAATGTCGAAGCAATAGCCAGCCATTAAAGACTTACACATTAGGTTAAGATACATTTTAGCACCAATCATGTCATTCCCACCAATTGTGTCTACCAATTGTGGTACCAATTGTGGTACCAAAACACCTGTGGTGTTACTAGAGCTTTAGACTAGTACTTCGTAATTGTGTTAAAGCTACTATAATTTGTTAGCATTTCGCAAAGCGAGACTTGATACCGAATACTTATTTTGATGACAATATCTAAAGAAAAAGGCCTTGTGTCTTGTGATTATTATCTGGTTTAAGTCCCGGTTCATTATTTTTAAACATTAGTAGTGTAGTTGTCTAAGCTTGATTTTTGTAGGAAGAGACTCGCTTTTTACAGGCGAGTGCATTTTAAGCAGAAATCAAATGTTACTTCCTCACTGTAAATACACAATTACATAATCAATATTTATGTAAAAAAAATAAAGGTATCTTTAATTCAATTTTGAAATTTCCGACTTTCTTAATCCAACTTACCTCTCATCAATACATTCAATTAAAATGTGGCTACGAAGCAGTAGCGGCAGTAAATTAGAATACTCCTCTCGTCGTTATCTCTACAAGCAAGGGCCACAGACGTCAGAACTTATAACTTAATTA